GAGGCTAGGGCGAAAGCCTAGATGGCGACATCTGCGGACGCCGCTACCTCCTTGGAGGCGTCCTCCTCGTTCCTCTTCCCCCGCTTTACTGGCATGGATGCTTGTGGGTGTGCGCCTCCCACCGTCGTAGGCGAGTCCGAGTATGGCTCTGCGTGGTGTGGCGGCGACCAGGACCTCCCTTCCGTCTAGGCGTGGATGCTTGCCGTGTGCGTCTCCCACCATCGCGGGCGAGTCCGGGACGGCTCCTGTGCGGTGTGGTGGCGGCGACCACACCCCTCCCTGCACCAGGCGGTGCGGGCCTCCCATCATCGTGGGTGAGTCCGAGAATGGCTCCGTGCAGTGTGGCGGTGGCCGCCACCTCCCTCTCTCAGGCGTGGACGCTTGCCGGTGCATGCCTCCCACCATCGTGGGCGAGTCCGGGAACGGCTCCGCGCGGTGTGGTGGTGGCCGGCACCCCCCTCTTTGTCTAGGCGCGGACGTTTGCCGGTGCGCGCCTGCCATTGTCGCGGATGAGTCCAGGAACGGCTCCACGCGGTGTGGCGGCGGCCGGCATCACCCACCTCCCTCCGTCTCAGCGCGGACGCTTGCCGGTGCGTGCCTCCCATCGTCGTGGGCGAGTCCAGAAACGGCTCCACGCGGTGTGGCGACGGCCGACATCACCAACCCTCTGTCCAGGCACGGACGCTTGCTGGCGCGCCTATCACCATCGCAGGCGAGTTCGGGAATGGCTCCGCGTGGTGCGGTGGCGCCCCCTTCCCCTCATAGTGGTGCAGCTACCCCTCGGCAAAAGACTTGGGTGAAAACCTTGCTAAGCTCTCGCTTGACTGACGATGATTACGTATTGGCATCATTTACCTTCCTGGAGGCATCGTGGAAGAGCTCCTATGTCTTGTTGCGGTAGTCTTTGCATTTCCCTAGTCTATTTGTAGTTTATGCCACTCCTGGCCCTGATGCTAGGGCATTGTCGTTTTTTTTTTTTTTTTCCTCCTTAATGTTGTAAAACATAAAACGAGCCTGAGAGATGTATTTGGGCTATATCAATATAGGTGGGGAGTAATCCCCGGTGACATTAAAAAAAGCCAGCCTAAGAGATCAAGGAGTCACCTGCAGACTACTACTTCTTCAAGCTAGCAGAAAAATCTCTACAACTAAAACATACGGGTTGTCAACATCTACCTGGCAGGACCAAAACACTCATGCGATCCATATCCGGCAGGCAAATAATCACCACATGGAGACACTGGAAGGCAAGTAAATAAAATAGAATAAAACTCACGGAATCACCGGTAGGCAAATAATCACAGCATGGAGACATTGTAAGGCAAGTAAATACAATAGAATAAAACGGAAAGAGAATTATGGGAAGAGAAAGAAATTTATTGGAATATCACCACGCAATGATCATGATCGTGATCCAAATCTCATTCGTCGTCCTTCACGTTGCGTGTTGACAACAAATACTTTTTTTCCCCAAAAAATGAATTATTGCCATGCCTCATGCGGGCTAGGATATTGTAAGTCCGGGTATACATGTTTTGGCAAGGCAGAGCGTGGATAAATTCAATTCGATGCCTAGCAATAAATTTTTAGCCTTTGAGGCAACTGATGTTTGTCGTAACTTTAAGACAATAAGCTCCAAGCCTAGCTTTTATTTCAGATTCATTACGATAATGAATATGTTTCTAGGCATTATCATGGTATAATACACGTGAAAAATTGAATTGATATATTCTTGATTTTGACTTAGCTAACAAACATCTCATTCAATTTATGTTGCACCCGTTACAACGCACGGACACTCATCTAGTTATGATAAAATAGAAAAGGACAGAACTTTTGTGTGCTCCTCGACATTTATCCACCGGATTATTCATGATGAAAATAAACCAAAAGAGATGTATTATGAATTAAAAGATCGTCAGCATAGCCCGATCGATATTGAATTAAACGCTGTGTCTGTGTCTATATATATATATATATATATATATATATATATATATATATATATATATATATATATATATATATATATATATATATATATATAAGCGAAAATTGCCTTCTCCTTGATTAAATGGAGTAGAACTAACATCTTGTCTTTTGTAAAGGGAAGCTTTTAATTCGTTGCCAAGCATAAAAAAGAAGACAACCATATGGTTTATGGATGAGAGAACCGTGTGGTACTACTGCTGGCTGTGGAGGTAGATAGGTTGTTGCAATGGGCATTATTCGGAGATATATAATATAGCACAAGGAAAAGGTGAAATAAGTGAGGAATTCAGATAGGATTTCCTTCATTAATTCTCTCTTTTGCTGATCGATGACTGGACTAGACAGCCACATGTAGATGTGGATGTGGATGTGGTGGTGTAACTTCAGACTCGACGGAGGAGGGAATACAAACGCTTTGGAATAAAGCATCCCTAAAAAACACACACTAGCTAGGATCATTATTCATGTGCATACTGCATATACATAGGCGTATTCTAGCACATATCAAAATTAACACAACATAATTAGCATGCATTTGATTTTAGGACGTTCTGAAATGGGATAGCCCCATCTCTAATTTTGGGGGTGAGATATCTTATTCTGTGTTTGGTTGAGAGAGATTGGTCTATCATGTTTTCTTTGGTTAAGGTGATTGGGAGAATTAGGATGGACTAAGGTCTTGCACCATTAGTATCATGTCAGTTGTGAGGCCCGCAAGTCAACTCGTCCTCATCTCTTCATCCTCCCAAATCCTCCATACACCACCCCTCCACGCCCCGTCGATGTCATTCCCAGCCACTACACCTCTCCACTCCGCTAGCACAGCTTCCATCCAACCATGCTATCCGCTATGCCACCCGAGCTCCTCCCTAGCCACAGCCATCCCCAACGCTACCACACGCGCTACCACAAGCACGCCTCCCCACACCTTCACGCCCACCATGTTGTCCCATGCATGGCCATATCTGGCCACAACACTGCCACACCCACGCCTCCCCACACCTTCATGCCCACCGTGTTGGCCCTTGCATCGTAGCCCACTTTAGCTAATCCCGCAGTCATGCGCCTCACACCGATATCTTTGGGCTGCTGCTGCAGCTAAATGATACACCGGCCACCTCATGCCCTCCATTGGGTTGCCACCCGATGCCTACACTTGACCACATAGGAGGAGCAACAACATCCACGAGGTCAAACCTATCTACTTGTTTTCAGGGGATAGGGACATCCTCGCATCTAAGGGTATACTCCCCCTCTAACAACAGTCCCATTCCAAAAATTGTCCTTGAACCAAACATGTCCAAAAGTAGGTTTGACCTATGTCATCCTCTTTTCATCCCCTGAACCAAACACATACTTAAAATTGCCCCTAGGATATGTGCTCATGCACATCACTATTGGATGTGCACATAGATATGTGCAAAATAGCACCTCGAATCGTAGAACAGTTTTCAAGCTATTATAAACTTCAAAGCCATCTATAAATCTGGTCAAACTTTAAAAAGGTAAGCCTGCAAGGAACTACGACGGATAAATCGTATGGCTTGAGGTAGAATCCATAACAAAATAAAAATAAGAGCTACACGATCCAAAATTATCATGACAAACAAGCTGCCCAATGTGAGCTTTCCTAGCATAGATTGGAGACACAATAACTGATGCAACATGTCATCATGACTAAATTCTGAGTACATACATGTGAGCAACAATCTCTAGTTTAGGACTTTGCTGGTCTGATGGATAGGTTCCATTCCCACATTATATCCCATTTATTATTTGCTTATTATATGTTGGAAATGCATGTGATTTGCGATGTGACCGAAGAAGAAACACTACCAAGTTATACTACCATGTTCTTATACTACTTGTGCATGGGGCAAGGGGCAAAAAAGAAGAGGGAAGGGTGGCTTTCCTTTTTAGGCATGTTGCTAAATGTCACACTCACACATGGTACTCGTTATCTCACAATGAAGAACAGACCAATCACATGATGACAACTCCTTTGGAAACCAATCATTATCTCTGGTTAACTCGTCATCACATGGACACCCGGCCAGCTATCTATAATCATCATGAATTCATGATGAATCCTATGATCGATCAACTGATGATGCTGGGCATGTGGCCGTGATGAGTCCAAAAATTAGACATTTGGACATCCTAAACAACTATAGCATGGTAGATAATCAATCTCATGCTCTCCTAGCTTAGCTAGTGACAAGAAGGTAGCTTCTCAACAGATCAAGCCACATCAAGTTATTTCTTCAGACTGCCGGACCCTTTTACTGATATATATTCTACCGATCCAAGTCTGGTAGATGTATAAAAGGAGTTGTTTCATATTTCGTCCATAAGACACAGCTAATAACTATGTTTATAGTTCAAAAAAATAATTCATACATTTTCATCTTTCACATTCCAGAGCTGGAGTTACGTTGAACAAGAATAACATCCAAATTTGGCAGCTATTCAGTGCTTACAAAGAAATGTAAATGGTTAGCTACCTTCTAGGATTGATATGATCCTCCAGGCCATGAATATAATGGCTGTATTCGAATTCCCAAAATAATAAAACCCCTGTGCATCAAGTGATGGTAGCCTGGTAGGTTAGTATATGAAGAGCCCTAGCTACTCTGACAATTCACCTAGAAGGAGAACATGTCACAAGAGGACCAACGAACAACTAATTTGGTTATGCCTTTGAAGACCTTACAAGGAAAGATAATTGCCTGACTGCAAGGCCAGAACATGCATTTGTAGGTGAATGATCAAATCCTTCGGTTTGGTGATATAGCACTACAAGTTCCAATCAAAAACATCTTTTTCCTAGTTTACATGAAAGAAAAACCAACATATATTTCATCCCTTTTATAAGCTGCTGGACAGGACTATGTATTATTCCAAAATGGCACCAAAAAATGGAACGGATCCAATTATACTAAGAGGTGAATAGGTGACTTCTGCCTGTATGTTCCATGGCACAGTATCTGGTAATGAATATATGCATTCTAGAATTCTAAAATGCTGATATAAGTTTCTAAAAAATTGGAGAATACACCGCAGCCATGGCTTGATGTGTCTTGGCAAACTCTCACAAGAGCCTGCACAGTTCCAACAACACAGTACCAGTCAACCCCTTGCCGGGCAAGCACGCCAGTTAAGCGGTAAAAATTTGAATGGAATAAGCCAAGCTAGTAGCAAAGTGAATAGCAGCCCACCTGACATGATTTTTATCGTCACAGAAGAATGGCGTCGATGACTGTTAATCATCTGTTCCAAAGTACCTGTCTCCAAATTCGCCCATCCCAGGTATGACACGGAAATCATCATTTAAACTAAACTTAAAGCGGCACCTTTCTTGCATCCGGGACACTCTTGTATGTCTTGAAGTTGTACTCAGGGATGTCAACAGCTTTGCCTATTTCAAGTTTTGTATACAAGAGAGAAATAGCTCTGTATTAAATGCATCTGAAATAGGAAAAAGGTACAGCCCGGCATATTCAGTGCAAAAACTCTTGGGACTAGGACTAGGACTAGGACTAGGACAAAAAATATAATTCTTGTGGAAGGATGAATTCGACCTGGATGATCGAAGTTATAATCATGAACATGGACTAATTCCTCATCCGTCAGTCCATAATAGAAGGACTCCTGCAAATATTGGAGAACAGTCTCAATGCTGCTTGCAGTGTTAAATAAGAGATTGGGAACAGTGTGGCATGACAATGTGATAATCAAGCCTAGCAATGCATATAGTATCATGCTATGCTATGTTGGTCAGTAATGTTGAACAGGTAGGTTAGTAGAACGCACATATGCTGCGAGATGAGATGCTAATGAATCGGATCAGATGAGAAAACATGAGGAAAGCAGCAATGCAGAAACCTGCATAACAACCACCACACGTTGGTTGCGCAGCTGATCAATGATCATCTTGCATACGGTACTTTTGCCTGAGGATGCACCCCCAGCAACACCTGCAGGGAAACTCAGCGATTCAGGGCATGCTGCATTGAGGCCTATTTCAGGGCCAACGGGCTGCGCCATACTCAGCGATTGACATACATCCTGCTACTACTACTGAACTAGTAGGCGAGGCGCAGGAAGACAGGTAGATAGATGTCCATGAATCAATCAAGTAACAGTACATATTGCCGTAAAAAAAAAAGTAACAGTACATATAGTACACATTACTAACCAATAACAAAGGGCTCCTGGTGGCCATTCTCCAGGCCAGATGTCGTTGGTTGTTCCTCGGAAGACGCGGAACCCTGGATGCGGTTGAGGCCGTCCAGACGGAGCGCGGAAAGATGGACTCCGGCGGCGGCGGCGGGATCGAGCACCTGGTCCACCGATTTGGAGCCCATATTTATGCCTTGACAGCGGGGTGCGAGTGTCAAAAAAGATTTGATCTTGGAGTGATCGCAATATATATGTAGCAAAGCAAAGATTTTTACTCTTTTTTTTTATATATATATATCTTCAATCAATCAATAGATGGAAGAGAGGAAATCAGGCGTGCTCAGCGCGGCGGGCGGGCGGGCGGGCGGTGGAGATGGAGCCTACACACAACAATTATATATATATTTTTGAGCATAACACACAACAGTTATATTATATATATAATAAAGGACTACTTAGGGAAAGCCAGGAAAATACGGGAAAGAAAAAGATTGGCTCTCAATCTTATGCCGGGTTCCGGTCGGGCCGGAAGAAACCCCGTGTCCAGCCCGAGCATCGGGCTGCAAATCGAGGCCCGAGCCTGCCCACCCGATGGACAGCCCGTGGGCTAACCCGACAGCCCAGGCAGCTACGACATGGAGCCCGAGCGTTCCCGCGGGGATATGTGTCAGCGGCCGGCGGGGCGTGGAGTCGAGGACGCGGCGGTCGGTGCGGCGTGGAGCATCGGCGGCTGCCCGGGCATTTGGATTTGGTTTCGCTCCCTCTCCCCGGCGGCGCGGGCTATGGCTCCTGGCGGCTGGCCGTGCACTGGGGAAAGCCAGCCGCAGCCCGCAGGGGGCTTTCCTCTCGGCCAGATGAGCTGCGTCCGTCCGGCGCACCCACACCCACCCCATCTGGCGCCTGCCGGAGAGCCGCTGCTGCGGTCACGGGAGGGACGGGAGAGCGGCGGAGTGGATGGCCGATGATGGGTGTGGATGGATGCTTCAGTGGGCTCTTTTGTTGGGCTGGACTGCAGTCTGTGCCCCTGCCCACTTGATGTGTCAATCGGGTTGGGTCAGGCTGGATTTCTTTTGGGTGGGCCGGGTGGAGCGTGGCTTGTAGAGCGGTAGACATACAACACTGTTTCTTTTTTATTATTCTTTTAGACTCTTCTCTTCATACTTATGTGATTTGGTTGAGAGATATAATTTTAATCTCTTTCTTTCTTTATTTATTACAAAGGAAAAGTTATAGATAGAGAAGAAAAGGAATATCATGTCCGGCGAAGTAGCTAACTGATGATAGAACATGCCTTGGTACCTGTAGCTTGGCTACCTGCAGGTCAGATTTATTCCTACGCATGCTTACTTGTTGAATGAGATAGATAGATAGATAGATAGATAGATAGATAGATAAAGGAGTATAGTAATAGGGAAAATTGGTTACGTAGCATTGAAAGATGTCGATCTCCGTAAAATATCATTAAAAGATTCTGAACTCGTAAAATATCACTAAAAGGCACCACCATGAACTGAAACTACCATTCCGTTAGTTTTTAGCAGCTGAACCCTTAACTAGTCCAAAATACCCCTCAAACTAGAAGAACGTGAATGCACTGGAGGAGCAGGAAGAGTTGCGATCGGCGCTGCACGCAGTCGAGGAGTGTGAAGCAGCACGCGGTAGCCGGTGGAGGTGGCGCTGCCTGCGCGTGGGGAGCCGCCCACGGCGGCCGGTGGAGGCTGCGCGGCTTGCACGCAGGGAGCAGCCCGCGGCGGCCGGCAGAGGTGGCGCGGCCTGCGCGTGGGGAACAGTCAGAGCTTGCAAAGCTCTCCGATCGAGCTGAGCTCGTAGGGCACAGTCTTCAGATCGATCCACCTCATCTTGCTCTCATGTATAGAGAGATCCTCCACGCCGGCTCTCCAGCTCGCTAGCCTCTTGTTTCTTGGCAGCAGGAGCATTATTTTAGTACGCACTGTACACTAGCACAGGCTAGCTAGTAATGGATTTGGGACGAAGGTCTGATTGGATACGGCGATTTTTGCATGGCTGGTGTTCATTTGGTGGTCGACGAGGACGAGCTAAGCCGTCGTCGTCGTGCACTGGCACTCCTGCGCGTGGGGAGCAACCTACGGCGGCCGGTGGAGGCGGCACTCGGAGCCTGCAGGCGAAACGCGGAAGCGAGCGCGGCCTTCTCCCGGTGCGTGCGTCCCTATCTCAGGGCAAATTGGTCATTTCACGTATGGGGTTTAGGTCAAATTAATGTTTGTATATATAAGAATTGACGGAATGGTAGTTTTAGTTCACGATGACACATTTCAATGGTATTTTACGGTGCCAGAATCTTTCAATGGTATTTTACAGAAGTCGTACACTTTCGATGCTACAGAACCAATTTGCCCATAGTAATATTATACGATATGATATAGGAGTAATATAAGAAGAGAGAAACGAGACGAGATGATTGACATGCTGAGTCAGCTCATGCGTGGCAACGTCCTGGTTTGTGCACGAGCACGCGCACATCAGGCAAACAGGCCCCGCCCCTTTGGTAGGTATCCTTGCAGCTCTAGCTCCCACTATCATTTTACTGTTTATTAGAGCCGAATTTCTCTTCCCCTCTCACAAAGGAAATAGGAGCCGGTGAAACCAAAAGCTTCAGCTTTCGCCGTGAACCCTAGCACCATCCCCGAAGAGGGAGACCTGTCACCGACCGCCATCTCGTCGAAACAGTGACCTCACCATCGCCGCGCTCGCACCGCCGTGCCGCCATGCACGTGGCCGGAGCTCACCGCCACTTCGTCGTAGCTCGAACCTAGCCCTAGAACTCCGCTAAGACCTCCTGATGCGGTAGCCCCGCTCGCCTGGCCGTGTCGTCGCCGGAAACGGCGAATCCACTGTCGAGCACCTCCACCGAGCCGCCATGGCTGCTGGCGAGGTAGCTCCGGTGATCCGCCGAGCCAACCGAGAGTACCATTAGGTGCGTGAGAGGATGGGGAACATGATGGTGAAGACCTCGTCGCCAGTGACCTCGCCGTCGGCGAGTTGTCGCCGGTCAACCGCCGCGCCCTGCTCCGTCTCGCTGTCAAGTGGGGCCAGTTGACCCGTGGGCCCCCGCTGTCAGTGGCAGTGGGTGCACTGGACCGGGTGTACCTAACTATAGACTCGATTTGAAATTTAATTTTTCAGATTTGGTAGCAAACTTGCAAAAACCATATCTAGAGCTAGGAGTGTCCAAATGGGGGATCCAAATTTTGTTGGATTCATCATGAAGTGTACTATTTGATAAAAATATAAAATCTACTGTTTGGGGTAATTTTCTAGGAGGATTAAATTAGGCTAGTTAAGTGCTTTTAAAATAGTTTCTATCTTGTAAAATGCATAACTTGAGCTAGGGAAGTGCTAAAAATGCGATTCCAATTTTGTTGATCTTGTGTTGACATGCCCTAGCGAGGAAAAAAATACTAAACTTACAGTAGGCATACTTGAAATATGGTTTTACTATTTAACCTTGATTAATTGCTAGTTTCTAGAGAAGTTAATTGGGGTAAATATACATAGCTTATGATCATAAATTTTTACACAATATTCTTATGCTAGTATAAAAAATAAAAAATATGAAATATGTTGTATGACACTTTTCACTAGGCTAAACTATTTTTGCTAAAATAAACCTATGTAACTTGTCATTTTTGTAGAAGTTGCTATACTTATCCAAATGGCATTAAATTTGTAAAGTAGACTATTGGAGTTATATGTAGGTGAAAGGTCCTAATGGCTAGAGGGGAGTGAATAGCCTATTAAAAATTTTTACAACAACACTTAGCAAACCGGTTAGACAATTATGAGGTGAAGCAAGTATTGCACTAGCCTACTAAAATTGTAAGCCACCTACCACAATTCTAGTTTATATAGTTTCTATCCACACAATAGCTATGTCACTACATGTATCATCGGTCATTATATCTCCCAACACTTGTTTTAGTGTTATGGTGTCCAAACCACTCCTAACTAGAATAGTGACTAATATGCCAAATCTTGAAGGCAAACATCTCAAGAACTTGTGGGAGAAGTCCTTGTCCTTCATCTCTTCTCCAAGTGCTTTGAGATCATTGACAAGCACTTGAAGCCTATGAAACATCTTCGGCACACTCTCATCCTCCTTCATCTTGAAGTTTGCAAACTTCTCTTTGAGAATGTATGCCTTTGCACCCTTCACAGCTTGAGTGCCCTCAAATGATTCCTCTAATTTCTTCCATGCCTAATGAGCTCTCTCAATGTTCTTGATTTGCTCAAAAGCTCTCTCATCCAAAGCATCATGGATGGCACTAAAAGCAACGTCATTATTTTGGAGTAGCATTTCTTCGGCGGCGGTGGGAGCCTCTTCATCTTCAATCTCAATCTTTGTCTCTACCACCTTCCAAACCTTTCTATTGATTGACTTGATATAAGTTGTCATCTTAGCTTTCCAATAGGGATAATTTGAGCTATCAAATTGGGGTGGCTTCTTAGTGTTGTTGATTTGAGTCATTTTTACACCGAAGGTTGTTAAGCCTCAAATCACAGTGACCTCGGTTCTGATACCACTTGAAAGGTCCTACTGGCTAGAGGGGGGTGAATAGCCTATTAAAATTTTCTACAACAACACTTAGCAAACCGGCTAGACAATTATGAGGCGAAGCAAGTATTGCGCTAGCCTACTAAAATTGTAAGCCACCTACCACAATTCTAGTTTATATAGTTTCTATCCACACAATAGCTATGTCACTACACTAAGTTAGTGCACTCTCCAAAGCTAACTAAAAAGCCACACTAACCAAACTAACAAGCTCTCACAACTAGCTACACTAAAGAGTTTGACAACTAATTTACGGTATTATAAAGAGAGTGAGAAAGATAGTTATACCGCCGTGTCGCGGAGTGAACCAATCAACCACAAGGATGAATACCAATGAAGACCAATCACCTCGGAATCAAATGATGATACAATCATTTTTTATCGAGGTTCACTTGCTTGCCGGCAAGCTAGTCCTCGTTGTGGTGATTCACTCAGTTAGAGGTTCATGCGCTAATTGGCATCACACATCAAACCCTCAATAGGGTGCCACACAACCAACATAAGATGAGGATCACACAAGCCATGAGCAATTCACTAGAGTACCTTTTGGTTCTCCGTCGGGGAAAGGTCATGAACCCCTCACAATCACCA